CCTTATCGTCGTTGATCTTGCAAGGAGAAGAAATCGAGTTATTGAAATATTATTTTTTATTTCATATAAATATAAAATTTTTAATAAAAATATATTCAAAAAAGAATTTTTAAATAGAAAATAGATTTTTGAATAGATTAATAAATTCATTTTTTAAAATGATATGAAAGTTTTTACATAATATTTTAAAATGAAATGGAGTTTTTTTTATTTAATTTTTAACTGATGTAGAAATTTTTATTTAAATTTTTTAAAATATTAAAGAATTTTTTCAAAAGGATTTTCAATTTTCAGTTACAATATTTTATAAAATATATATGAAATGTAAAAAATCAATTTTTTCTTTAATTATTTCTATTATTCTTTTTTATCCTTTTTTATTCATTATAATATATATATATATATATATTAGAAAAAGGAAAAGAAAAAGTTATTTAATATTTTTTAATATAATTTATTAGCAAAATAATATTTTTAATATAAATTGGTTTTTAGTTTTAAAATGATATGGAATTTTTTTTTAATTAAAAATTTTTAGCAAAATAATATTTTTAATACAAATTTGGTTTTTAGTTTTAAAATGATATGGAATTTTTAAAAAATATTTAAAATATTTAACTTAATTTTAATTTTTGAATATCTATGTTTTATTAAAATAAAAAATATATATTTAAATAATAAATTATATTACCATAAAACAATAAAATTATTATTTTTAATTTAATATTTTATAAAAATATATTTGAAATAAAAAATTGAGAATTTTTAAAAATTTTTAGAATTTTCTTTGAATGCGGGCGTGATATTGATAATATGTTACTGACTGCACTTTTATAAAAATATATGTTAAATTTAATATTTTATAAAAATATATTTGAAATAAAAAATTGAGAGTTTTTAAAATTTTTTGAAAATTTTCTTTTAATGTTGACTTGGTATTGATAATGTGTTGCTGATGAATTTTTTAATAGATATTAGCATCCTATTAGGTGTCATGTCAAATTAGCATTTTGGACTAATACTATTAGTTCAATGTACTAACGTGATAACAAAATGAAAATTGAAATACCAAATTGATAAATTTATTTTTTTAGGTATTAAACTGATATAAAGTGTATAGTTTAGGAGTTAATTTATATTTAATCCAATTAAAATAAAACTTGATTTAAAATTTAGGAATCACGAGTACTATTATCTTTAATATTGATGTAATCAAATTTGGTTAACAATAATCATAATTTTCATTTAGAACGGCAATTACTATCAAAGACATAATAATGAAAAAATAATCACTTGAAAATTACACAAATTGACTAACCTATCAAAAAAAAATAATTTACTATAGCAATCACTATAAGAAAAAAAACTTTTAGCAATGAAAAATTCCGTTGCTAATACTCTCTTTATCATTTGAAATAGTTTTAGTGACATAATTTCCATTGCTAATAATTTTTTTGTAGATAATGAGTGGACGATTAGCGAAAGAAAATTTCATTGCTAATAATCTAATTCTATCGCTAAAAGTAATAATTATTTTAACTAAATTTCAAAAATAAAAATAAAATTCCATTACTAAAAATAATCTGCTACGAAAATTCTATTGTTAAAAGTTTTTTTTTTAAATTTTTTTAAAGAGTAAAATATATAATTACATCGATAAAATCAATTAGCGACGAAAATTATGTGCTAAAGGTTGGATATTTTACAAATTAAAATTTATAAATCCATTAGTAAAACATATTAGCGATAGATATCTGTCGCTAAAACATTCATTTTTGGGAATTTAGGAATCAATCTTGTATTACAATTTAGAATTGATCCCTTTTAAATTTTCATTGCTAGAACTCATCGTTAAATATTTTCTACGATTTTAGAGATTGATCCTTTTTCATAGAAGATCAATCCCTATTCAACGAGGGTCAATCATTCTCTCAAAAAGATTGAAACTTTTTATATTTTTGCCAACTTTTCAATTTAAATCCCTCAAAAACCATCCATATAAATCTTAAATCTAGTAAAAAAATCATAATTCCACATTTTATTTATTTTCATGTAAATTCAATATTCAATTAGATACATAAAGTTTTCAATAGTGTTAAGGACATGCAACACACCTAAATGTTCAATCAAGATCTATTTACAAGACCTTCAACCAGCTATACATGAAACTTGTATTACAATTTACAATATATATGGCAGCAAATGTTTAACTTGCATTATATAAACATAATTGTATAAGATATTTATTCCACTCATCAAAAGTAATGTAAAGAGAGTTGAAAGCTATTCCTTTGAATCATCATCCTCATGACTTCCAAGTTAAAGTGTACAATATCAAAAAACATTTTTGTTCAATTTATGAAAGAACTCATAATTATAGGAAAAAAATTCAATAAATTACACATAATCCACATAAATAACACAAATTTTAATAAATATATAAAATTCTCTATAACTTACACAAATTCAACATCAATTCCACAAAAAGTTTAACTCTTTCAACCGCAACAAATTACTCAAATAACCCTAAGTTTTTGTTTAACAATCAAAATTTAAAAAATTTAATAGAAAAAGAAATTAACTATTATTGTTGAATCGTAAAACAAAATAGTCAAGTTGTTAAATGTTAAACCTTGCAAAATAAAAATTACAAAAAATAATATTAATCCTAAAACATAAATTAAAATTAAAATTTTAACATAAATATATTTATGTTAAAAAAACCAAAATAATAAAAAATAAACAAAACCTAAATTAAACTCATAACCTAAAATTTAAAATTAAAAAATAAATTAGAAATAAAAAAACAAAAAATAGGGGTTTAGTACGGAGGATTTGGAGGAGAGAAGTTGAGGGATTTTGGGGGATTTAGTTCGGGGTGGAAGAAACCAGTAAGGTGCTTGCAGTTCATCGAAAAATGAAAAAGAAGAGTGAGAGAGGCTTGGGTTGGTTTTGGGCAATTTGGGAGTGATTTTGGGTCAAATTTGGGTACAATTCGGTTCGATTAAGTTCGAGGATGATGTTGGCAATCAGATGTGATCGGAGTTGGCTTGGGCAACATCTATACGGTGAAAGGTCAAAAGGTTAGGAGGGAAGAGAAAAGCGAAAAAAAAAAGAGAAAAAAAAAGGAAAATTTTAAATGATTGGGCATTAGCAACGAAATTTAATGACAAAACTTTTGTTCCTAATGTCATATCATTTTTAAAAAAATTATATTTTAATGAAAAACAAACTAATTAGTGATGAAATTTCGTCACTAATAGATCAAAATTCCATCACTGAAAGGTCTTGCTGATACTTAGCGAATGAATTTTGGTCTCTTAGTAGCCGAATCCTGTCACTAATATTCAAAAACAAAACAAATGTATTGGAGAATACTAGTGAAAGAATTTTGTGTTGCTAATGAAAAATTTTCTTGAAAACTTGGTTTTTTTTAGGTAAATTTGATTTTTAAAGAAATTAGTCCTGAGTTTCGTTGCTAATAACAAATAAAAAATTCAAGAATAATTTTATTTTTATTAAAATTAAAATGGTATAAAAGACTTAGTGATGGATTGTCAATCGTTAATTTCATCGTTAAAAAATAAAATTTCAAAAAATAAATTTATTTTTCTTAAAATAAAAATAATTAAGGGCATTAATTATGGAATTTTTGTTGTTAATTTTCGCTCCATTCTCAAAATTGTAGCACATCCTAAATAGAGATGGAATGTAATTTCCTTTGGTGATATAATATTTTTAGCGATGGAAAATCATCACTAAAAGTAAAACACTATTTCATAGAAATGCATCACTATTCCATCGAAAATCTGTAGTTAATGATACCTTTTAGCAATGGAAAAATTGCTATTTTTCATCGATATAATCATATTTTGTTTTAGTGAATTCTAATATAATAATTTGAAAAGAGAAATTGAATATAAATTATAATTTTTTAAATGTCTAGTGTAAAAGTTATTTTTTAAATTTATCATGCAACATTTATAAATGATTTTTTATTTATTTTTTGTATGTCTCATACAACTTTTGTAAATGCTTTTCTTCTAATTTTTTACAACAATAAATATTTATTATTTATTTTACCTTTCTCTTTCATGGCTACCTTAAGCTTCTATTATATCTCTTGCATTCTTTTAAATTGTAAGAAAAAACTCTAAAATAATAAAAAAAACAAAGCAGGAAAAGTCAAAATGCCAACTGAAAGATCCGAAAAGGAAAAAAAAAAAAAAAACCCCAACACATGTCAATCAAAGGATTGAATCAAATGTCAATCATTTACGTAATGGTATTTAGATTTCTAAAGTTATAAATAATAGGGAAAGAACTATTTAGTCTATGAACATAGGTAAGTTGTAAATTTTTGTGTTTTTTAATTTAATTGATTTTTTTTAATTTCACAACATGCATATTTAGTAATACTAAAAAAATTATACCATTGAATTCCTTCTCTCTGGAAGGATAAATCTCTTATGCATAAAAGTAACAATGAAAAAAAAGAAATTGGAAACAAAAAATTTATAGACAATTGTCTCAAAATTCAAATAAAAAACATATACAAAAATAATAAATAGTGCACAGAACATATATACTGATAGTATAATAATGAGCGTTTCAACCAGTTTTTACTGCATCATCAATTTTTGGATACCCGTCATAAAAGTTTACAGTTCTCTTGAATCCAGTTGTTTGGCTTTGACGATCGAAGGCCATGAGTACATCTGCCTACAACCAATAGGAACTAGTTGTTGTATTTCAACATAAAAATTAAAAAATTTCTTCATAAAAGTTTTATCCATATCATAAATTTTAATATCATGCCGTTGATAGATGGAATTTACAATTATCTTAAAGTGTGTTTGATAAATTATCGGAAAGTTGCAGTGCCTTCAAAATCACTCTATTCCAACAATATTTATCAAAATGATCGGAACTACCTGTCAATGATTCTCCCATTAATAAAGACATTCAAAGCACTCTCCTATAAATACCATTAGAATTGAAAGAACATCTTGTGAGTTAAATATAATGAATAATGACTAAATGCATTCGACTTGTTTGAGTATTTCCCTATAAATAAATGATGAATTATTCATACAAATCATCTTTTGTTATTTTTCAAGCATATGGTACTAGAAGGAGCAGTGCAATGCTTAGTCTAATTCCTATTAATATACAAGTTACAATTAAATGTACAAGTTGATAGTTGACTACAATATAAAGTTTATATTCTTGCTCTGGATAAATACATCTTGTTTCTAGGATCTAAATGTTTGATCCTTTCAAAATCATGCATTTCAAGAAGCTGTCCCTTTGGACTCTTGAATGTCCAACTCATGCTCTGCTACCATGATGCAAGAATCAGCTTCTAGAGACGAAACGAAGCTTTTATCCTTCATCAATGTTTCCTTGGGTGAATTGAGCATGTCAGTTGTGCATTGTACATCAGGCGCTATGCCAACCTGATCTATGTCATGAAGAGCAGGTGATAGATACTTTGCAACAGTTACAAAAAGAGCAGATCCGTCATGTAGCTCTGTGACACTCTGCAGCAAAAATCATTCAGCAACTATCTCAAATAAGCTTGAACAATTAAGGCTTCATTTAAAGTTGACAGAATAAGTGGCCAAGTTCAGTATTGAAAGACATTCTAGTACTCTCAGAAAACTTAATTGGAATGTGTTTTATCACTTCTATGATTAAAACAAAGTTAGATATTATTCAATACTTCTACAAAAAGCATAGATCATGTACGTCATCCAAGCAGATAGGTTTTATGATGCCAAAATGAATTTCATCACCGGCACTAGCGGTGCTCAGGCTATTGTTTTGGGATAGCTATCCCCCAATTTTAACCTATCCCTTGAGATGAGCAACGCCAAGATGAATTACCTTAAAATAATTGTAGACACCCTATTTGATTCAAGTCCGAATCAATTAGATCTGGCTCAATAGAATCCAATTATTAGCCCAGTTTTTCATTATTTTGTTTTATATTTTATTATTTTATTTTATTGGTTTTATCTTTGGTTGATCATTCATTTATTTGTTTTGTTTATCTTTGATTTTCTCTTTTTTTTTATTCGATTTATCTTTAATTTTTTTGTATTTTAGATGTTAAGATAATGATAAAATAATAGTAAAAAAAAAGAAAAAATAAAATTAATAAAGATTTTGCTGTGTGAATGGTTGTTGGCAGAATTATAAAGGGATTAAATTTGTATAAGATAAATCTAATGTTTTTGATAATATGAAAATCCTGTAAAAAATGGAGTCATGGTTAATCAGAAAATTTTCTGATTATCCCCTATAAATACAAGACCTAAATCACACAAAAAGACACAGAAATATAAAATCACAGATTAAAAAAATAGAGAGAGAAAATACACACAAAAAGGTAGGAAAATATATACGACAAAAGGTAAAGAGATCTGCAAAATCAAAGAAAAATTTTGAAGATTTTTTTTGGAAAATTTTCTAAAAATTCTTAGATTCTGGTGAATTTTTTCAGTTTTCGGTGAATTTTTCGATGCCATTTAAATTTTTCGACGAGTATTTCAAAATCCGATAGAAGATTCCAATGAATATTGAATTTTTTGATGACTTTCCAGCGAATCAATCTAGATTTTGACATAAATTTTCAAAATCTAGTAAAGATTCAATCGAAATTCTTCGGGTGGTAGAGAGAAAGGGAGAGAAAAGAAAAGAGAAGAGAGAAAGAAAAATCTAAGGAAAAAAAAGAATTCGATTTTTTATACTTTGGGCATTTAAGAAACCAAAGATCCACGTGTTTTCTAACGAGTGACCCAACCCGTAGCATTTGACCCATTTTCGACTCGCGTCCCTATCCTTGGCTCCAACTAAGCAGAGCAACAAGTCGTGCCGTTTCAGCCACTTCCCTTGCTTGCAGTCGAGCCGAGTTTTTCAACCAAGTCGAGCCGTTTTCTTATTTTGATAATTTTTTTTTCTATTTTTTATATTTTAAAGTATTTTTGTATGATTAAATTTTGAGAAAAAATAAAATATTTGAGAATAAATAATAATTGTCCAATGATGAAATTTTTAGAAATTTCAAATGGTAAATTTTTATAAATTTTTAGATGAGAAATTTTTTCTAAATTTATCCAAATGGTGAAATAATTTAGATAAAGTTTCAATAATAATAATTAATATTTATTTTCAAATAAAAAATAAAAACAATTAATAAAAATTTTAATTAAAAATATTTGATAATTATCCAAGAATGAGAATATTAGAAATTTTAAATGATAAATTTTTAAGTGAAAAATTTCTTTAAATTTGTTTCAAATGGTGGAAGAATTTAAATAAAACTTCAAAAAATAATTGTCATATTATTTTTTTCAAAGAAAAAAAACAAAAAAAAATTTAAATTGACCCAAATGGTGAAAAAAAAATTTTAAAAAATTCTTTTTTTAAATTGATCTAAATGGTAAAAAATTTAGAAATAAAAATAAAAATAAAAAAAATAAATTTTGATGATGAAATTCTTAGTAATCGTAAATGATTGATTATTTAAAAATTTCAATGTGAGAAAATACTTTTAATTTTGGCCCAAATGATGGATGGATTAGATATATTTTTAATTAAAAAAAACCAAAATAAAATGATGATTAAATCTTTTTTCAACGTTGGAACACCTTCAAAAAAATAAATGAGATTTTTGAATATTTTTTATGTAAGAAAATATTTTTAAGAATTTTACCAAATTGATAAAAAATCTTAAAAGTTATTTTTAATATTCAACATTAAAACTTAAAACCGTTAGAATCAAGATCTTAGGAATAATTTAAAATAAAATGGTACTATCTTTTGGATGGGCATGTAAGGGTATTATAATTTTTTCATATGTAATCAAATTATTAAATCATGTTTTGATTAATAGACCAAAACCTATTCTCTAGGGACTCTTAATCAAACTTAAGAGCTCCTTAAAAGTTATTTTTAATATTCAACATTAAAACTTAAAACCGTTAGAATCAAGATCTTAGGATAATTTAAAATAAAATGATACTATCTTTTGGATGGGCATGTAAGGGTATTATAACTTTTTTCATATGTAATCGAATTATTAAATCATGTTCTGATTAATAGACCAAAACCTATTCTCTAGGGACTCTTAATCAAACTTAAGAGCTCCTTAAAAGAACAGATTCATTAAGTGACAGATCACACCTAATTAAAAAAAATTAGTGACGACTTCATTTGTTAAATCTAATTATAAATTTACAGATTTATATGTTATGACAACAACTGAACAATAAACGTACCTGAATTTTCCCTTTACCAAAAGTTTTGTGGCCTACAAGGATGGCTCGACCATTGTCATGCAGTGCACCTGCCAAAATCTCACTTGCGCTTGCACTTCCTTCATTCACCTATTACAAATAATAAAATGATTTGTTGTTAAGAACTTTAAAGATATAATGGAAAGTTAAATTAAACTGCTGCAAAAGATATTCAGAATTTTCCAACAAAATTTCAAAGATTCAGCAGGAAGTTTCAAGGAGAGGGCAAGAAGGAATTAATTAGGGGTTCATGTCAGGAAAATTTTGAATGTAAGTGTTGACACTCACAAGAATAACAAGAGGATCATGCGTTACAGCATGGCCATTGATCATGTTGATGGGCGACATATGCCCATCACGATCAACTGTGTTCACGAGAGTCTCAGTCCCATCTAGCCATATCTGGGCAACATCAAGTCCAGCTTTCACTAAACCTCCCTGCACAATATTTGAGAGAACAAATTTAACGACAGAAATTTCATCAAAAAGATCATTAATGGACAAAAATAGGAGCGGAAAATCACTGGGTTGTTCCGCAAATCCAATATGTATGACTGTACACCCTGGTTCTCCATTTCATGAATTGTATTCTCCATATCAGTAGCAGCTGTCTATCAAAGAAGAAAAGAAATATTTTTGTCAAACCATCTGCTACTAAAATAGAATCACTTTGGCATGAAAAAGAAAATTATTTAATTGGTTACTACCTGTGAGAATGTTGACAGCTTCACATAACCAGTCTTTGATAGGCGGCCATCTGCGGTTCTATGAGGGATGACAGTACTGGATAGTGGTGAAAGCCTAATTAATTCACGTGGTAGTTTGACCTTCAAGCAGAAGAGCCATGTTTCAAGATTAACGGATAAAAAATATATAAAAAAATTTCCATTATACCTATAATCTGGTGCTGTATGCATAATTTTGTGACTAATATTGATAATTTTTAACTTTCCTTTCTAAAGTTTGGAAAGCAAATCAATAGCAGTATAATTCAAAACAAAAGGTGAGAGGCTCCATGTGGTTGGCACTTTTGCCTCTAGAAACAAAAAACAAAAAAGGCATTTGACCACAAAAGAAAACAATATTGTTGAAGAATTAGCCATTTTTCATCATATATGATCTTGGTTTTTACTACTTGCTTTTGCTTTATCGCCACTTTTATGAAAATAAAAAGAAAATATAAAAAAAAAGGAAAAGCAATAAACACAGGAAACCTTAATAAACACCGTAGCATCGCCTGCGTAATGAACATTGATGGTTTGTTACCTCTTTGATACTAGAACCACTTCCTGAATCATTTCCCTGTAGAATAAAACATTATTTTTATTATGTTAAGAATGCTTGACGTTATGAGAAATCAATAATGCTTTTAGACACTCTAGCCTCATTCTCTTTGGCTAGCAAAAGCAATACAAAAATAGAAACACTGACAAGATGAAATGAAACATAATACTGTCACAAAAGAAAGATGCAAACACTTATGGCATTTTGACAATGCTTGCTTTTGGGACATAGGTAATGCAGTCAGGTTCAGCCAAGAAAAGTTGTGGTAAATTTTCATCTTCCACATGCTGAGGACATTCTCTAGGACCAGATTTCTGAAGCAGGATACATTAGATTCACTATGAATGCAAAGAGATTATAAATACTAGTACATGACAAAGGGAGGGTAGAACATTGCAACTCTCTTTATTTTTTAAAAATGGATGCACAAGTTAGACATGTCTTTATTTGATCTTAATGCCATCAATATAAAGAAAGCTTGATCTCAAATCACTACATGTCCTGTCAAGATAAGAAAGATCATACTTTATGCAGGTTACTCAAGAGAACTTAATCTTCATTTACATTGCAGAGAATGAGAAAGGATAATTACCGCATGGAGCTTTACTGTAACTGATGTTCCAGCTTGGCCTCTAAGCCTCTGGGCTGCTGCTTCACTATCAATACCATCAAGTCTCTGCCCTGAAGTCTCAAAAACAGCATGCAAAACTAAGCAGAGTTCAGTTTGAATAGAAGAACAACATTTGGAAGGAAGAGACTTTGAACTCATGAATCATATCTTAAAGAAAGAAATATGGACCGGATGGAATTCCAGATTTGAAATAACAAAGAAAAAACAGTTCCCAAATAAATTCAATCGCAATTTATTAGTTAAAATTATAGTTTTTAACCCTGGAAAGGGAAAGGTCAAAAGCTTAATAAAATATGTACCGTTAATCTCAATCAACTCATCTCCCTCATGTATACCAGCACGAGCAGCTGGGCTACCCTCTACACAAGACAAAACAACCTGCATAGTTTAAATAAAATTATCATTGCAATGCATGAACTTATGATTAATGCCAAAAATGAAACATCTCAGAGACATAATGTTGAATACCAAATTTAAGCAGAAGGATAAAAATCAAGAAGCAAAGAGGGGGGGGGGGGAACGATATTGCAAAAGAAATCTTTCATTGTTTGGCTGGATGAATAGTGGGAATGAAAATTGAAAACTTGCTGGGAAGAAATTTATACTAATTCAGTTTTCAATAATCCTGAAGCAAAGTTCCTCATCTCCAATTTATCATTAACGAACTAAACAAATTTAAATTGCTTGTGACTGGAAGGCCTCATATTTCCAGAGCTCCACCAACAGGAGAGCAGTGTAAGCTTTTATATAACATAGGTAAAGAAGACAAACCTTTTAGGAAAGGAGAAGTTATATATCTAAGGAGTGTCAATAAGTCAATCTAGCACAGGTCATAAAAATGATGAAAAAAAATAAAATTTTGCACTCACCAAATGACCAGTTTTTGGTTCAACACTTATGAACAGACCAACTCCTTGCAAATTTCCATCACTTCCAATTCTAAAACTCTGGTACTCCTGAAAGTGAAAAAATCATCGTTAGATAGAGCAGTATAGTAATCTTTTGACATAGATTCATCAACTGAAAAAATACTATCATCACAAGATTGAGTAACCCTAAGAGCAACTAGTAAGGCTGTGATGACGGCACAAATGAGTAGCCACATCATAATTCATCATATTTTTGTGTATCAATATTGTATGAAATTATGCTAGCTAAGCTGAAGTACCATTCACATAAGTCAAAGAAAGCTGATTGTCATACCTTTGGACTGATAATCCGAGTGAAGGGATCCCCAAGTGTTGAAAGCATTCCTCTGATTTTACCATATGCTGCATCAGCTGACTTCAAGGGAAAAATTTCCACCATTGTTTGCTGCAACTTCAAATCCCAGTCTGCAACAGGATAACTCTCAAGAATTTGTTTACTATCTATACGTAGTTCCTTAGTTCCTACTTAATGAAAAAAGGGACAAAATGAACATAATACTAATTTGACATATCCCTCCCCTTCCCCAACCCTTTGTGACAACCTACTTATCCATAAGCAAGTTGCAGGCCTAAGAATTCAATCTCCAGGAACTCTTCAAGGAACTTGAACCACTTTGACAGAGACAGACGCAAAGGCAGGTGATGTGATTAGATTCAAACTTCAAGGGAATTTTCTTTTCGCATTTAAGTCTAATACAACTCGGACTCTAAAGCATTTCTAAAAGCATAATTGATTAAACATAAACAACTGACTAACATATAGCGTCAATTCTAACATAAATTTTCACATAAAGTAATCATCAATTTTGCTATTTAAAGGCTACATCTTTTGTGCATAATTCTTCAACAGACAACTGCTTGCTTCTTCAATCTCCATCCAAAACGTACTTTTTTCTTTTTATTTTTGGAAACAAAAAGCAAGCAGTGCAAGCGGATTGTAGATATAACTTCATGTCAATGCCTCATTTAGAATAAAAGAATGGAGGACGGGAAACACTTCAATCACCTTGATGATTAAATGTTGGGTCAACAAATGTTTCTCTTATCAACCCCCAAGCTTCCACAAGAGTTCGTTGCACTGTATTCACCTACCACAAAACCTTTAATCACTCAATTCAATGTTTAAAATATTTTGAACAATAAAACTAGAAAATGAATCACCTCTTGAGACCGAGAAACTGGAAAAGCGACAGTCAGGGACTCCGCAAAAGCCGGAGAATCAGCACAAATGGAGGCGAGAGCCATGGTTGCAGCAGAAAAACCAATAAACCCTTTTGCTATTGACCTGATCAGATCATGTCCACTGGATTGTTGCCTAGAAGCTTCTCTTTTAACCGCTTGGTGATAATTACTGTTATGATTATATGAAGCACAGGGCCACGACACACTCGACTTTTTGCTAATGCCACGATTTAGGCACGAAAATCGATGTGAAAAGAGTGGAATGGAAGTGAGTCTTGAGGATTTTAGGAGATCAAAGTTTGGGCAGAGAGGCTCCATTTTTTTTTTCTTTTCAGGGACTAGAATGAAAGAAATAAAAAAAATAGTTCGGATTCTCAAAAAATAATCAAGTTATTGAGAAGCTGAAGAAGACCAAGAGAAAAGGGGGAAATTGCTTTTTTTTTTTTTGGTTAAATTGCTGTTGACCGTTATTCTTTTTACTGGCGGGATTCTGCGGAGATGGGCCCACATGAATCTTATTGAGGTTTTTTTGTGGCGATGAGATCTGTTGCGTTGCGTGTTTGAGTACACGTGAAAGGAAGACTTCAACGCTGTATTCACAATATATAAAAGAAATAAAAAAAGAAAAATTCTACTACCAGAGAAATCTTTAACAAAGGAAAAAGGAAAAAGGAAAAATAAAAATAAAAATAGGTTGTGCAAAAGTAGAACACGTATGTGCGCGTTTTCATTTTCAATTTGAGATTCTTGAGAATGAAATGTCTTTTTGTCTTTCTAAAATATCTCAAAATCATCCACAAAATAATCAACTTGAATTTTCTATTTAAAAATTTCACATTTTCCGGAGGATTTTAACTTTGAGTTATTTCCAACTGAGGAATTATTTAAAATCCTTATTCCTTAATAGAGATGCTTTTAAATTTATTTTCTTTAATAAGACTACTCAAAGCTAAATTAATGCATGTTATGTTTTTTTTTTTTTATTCTTCTAATATATATTTCCCTCAAACACAAATCCCCGAAGTCTCACTCCCACTATCCTCTTCTCAACAGTTAATTTTCAATAATATATTAAACAGTTTTTATATTATAAATTCAGTATTTAAATTTTTTAAAATTAAAATTTTCAAAGCTAACAATTTGACACTTTTTTTCGTTTACAACCCATCCCAGACATTGGGCTATTGAGGAAAATGTACAAGACCGACAAATCGATCCCAGTAATCAGTGCTGAAAATTTGAGGCCCAATTTGTTTGAAAAGGCTGGTGGCCCAATTTTTATTTACCCTATTAATGTAGGCTGGTGGAAAAATGAACAAAGTGAAGCCCTTCTGGTTAAATATTCCTGCCATAACACAAAGTCGTGTCAAAAATGCATTTTAAGTTTCAAAATTTTTTTTGGCTGTTTTATTCTAAATCTTGAGATTGACGAAAGATTTACGATATGAGAGAAGATTTCTTATCGTGTAATCAAAAAGCCTTGTGAAAGAAAAAAAAATGCCATGAAATGGTATTTGTACGATAGCTCCTGGTAATTTTTAGTATTTTTCCCTCCTAAAAATACATCCATGGTGCTATTAATCAAGCGCATGATACAATTAATTGGTCTAGGTATTGATGAACAATATCAAAGGCACGTGTCAATAGTAAGGTGAAAGAAATTATTTATAAAATTCAAGATTTAATTCAGATTCATATATTTATTTTTAAAAAATAATATTAAATAAGTATTGAATTCAAATTTAAATATTTATAATCTATTCCCTCATTCTAAAATTATGATTTCTTTTATAAAAAATTATTTATTACTTGCAATTGCATGGCATTGGACATCAATCATCATTTATCAATTAAGAAAAAAAAATTTTTAATATGTAAGTTTGACTTGCAGAAGAAAAATTTTAAGAAGAAAGAGATTCTTAATAGATAAGTTTACATGCTTATAAATAGGTGAAGTTTCTATAACAATAAGTATGAGAAAAAGATTAAATTTTTATGAGATAAATACATCATAGGAGTATTGGAGATTTACGTTTTATGGGTGTGTATATTTGTATGTTTATGAGTGTACTATAAGAGATTGAGAGAATTTACATAGGTATAATACATAATACATAGGAGTACAAAAGTCTGTGTTTGTTTGATTTAAGAATATTCAATAAAATTAGAGGAGATTGAGAATGTCTATGAGTATTGATTATAGTTGATATGATTTTATGTATGTTTATAATTCTTTATAACTAATGGATATTATTTTTCATTCGTGGATGTAGGCCGGTTAGGTTAAATTACATTAAATTATTATTTTTGTGTGATTATTTGATTATTTGATTTTGCTTTCACTAGTTTGATTGGATTGGAGCTTTTTAGCCTAACAAGTGATATCAAAGCTATGATGATCTCTAATAAGTGATATCAGAGCTAAAGGTTTGAGACGTGGGAAAAACTAAAGGTTTGAGTCATGGGAAGAGGTAATCTTAAAAGAACTCGATTCAAGAGAAGAGTTCAAATTTAAGTTTTAAGGATTGAAGATAGATTTGTATAAAGTGTGAAGACATATAAGAGAAGATAATTATGAGACTTTCATTACAGGTGGAGCCAAACATATCTAGCATGAAGATAGTTGATTTGATGAAATTTAAGTCAAGAGGGAGATTGTTCGAAATAGTGATTGAAATCCCATAACAGATTTATTTAGAATTGGTTAGATATTACTTGATAGATAAAAAGATTTGTAGAAGAAGAATTTTATGGAAAAAGATATTTTTAATAGGTAAGTTTGACTTGCAGAAAAAGAATTCTAAGAGAAAAGAGATTATTAATAGGCAAGTTTATATACTTATAAATATGTGAAGTCTCAAGTTAGGTATAACAAAAAGATGTAAGAGAATTATAAGATTTTATGAGATAAATACCGCATAGGAGTATTAGAGATTTACGTTTTATGAATGCATATGTTTATATGTTTGTGAGTAGATTAGAGAAGATTGAAATGGTCTACATAAGTATAATCCATGGATGTACAATAATATGTGTTTGTTTGATTTGAGAATACTTTATAAGACTAAAAGTGATTTAGAAGGTCTATGAGTATTGGTTATGGTTGATATAATTTGATGTATGTTTGTAATTCTCTACAACTAATAGCTCTTATTTTTTTCTGTGAACGTAAACCGGTTAGGTTAAATCACGATAAATTATTATCTCTTAAAATTGTTTAATCGTTTGATTTTGCTTTCATTAACTTGATTGGATTGAAGCTTTTTAGCCTAATAAACATTGCTTTACATAATGGTTGGATTGACAATTTAAAAATTTATTTTACTCCCTTTGTTCTTTTTTTTTTTATCTATCTTTTTTCGGGGATATCTCAAATTACATCTTTTTTTTTAACATATAAAATTCTTATTTTTTTAATATTTTCAAATTAATTTTTATGATTTTTTTTATCTTTTGACATTAAAAGTGATAAAACTTTAATTTTATAAAAAAATTTAATTTTAATATTAAATAAATTAAAATCAAAAATTTTTTAAACTCTGTAAAAGTCAATATCATCCAATCAATATGGGACGGAGAGAATATTAGATACTACCAAGTATATTAATTTAATGTAACGTATAAACATGGCACATCATAATTTCAATACCTTTTTCTTCTCTTGAAGTAAGTTTTTTCTTTTTTTGTCGGGGGTGTAGCTAATTTTTGTTCTTTATTTTCCATTAGAAACCATTAAATTTCAATGTCAAGCACTAGTATTTGTTTTGCTTAGCCATATTACTTCAAAAGTTCAAAGTCAAATATATAAACTATGTTCATAATCAGAGGAATGGCACACCTGATTTGCTTAATAAAGTCTAGTACTAGAAAATTTTCCTTTCAAGAAACTGGAAACCTCTCTTTTTTTTCTCCACATGCATGTGCACATGATGAGTTTCCCTACATTTCATGTGACATCTAAAAAGCTTTCAAAATGTAATTGAAATTTAGGAGAGGACCATATTTTTCCATTGCTAGAAAAAAGAAGATTAGGAAAACATACCCTCAGTGACTGCCTACCTTCCCTCACAAGGCTAGAAAAGTACAATAATTTTCTTTTCTAAGGCATCAACAATTGATAAGAAAAATGCCATAAATTCAGTTATGTTAGATTATGATTGCAACAAGAGTCCCATTCTCATAAATAATTACAGAACTTTTCAACAGAAAAAAAAAAAAAGGAAAAAATGCCATTAGACTTTGAAGTTTTTACAATCTCTAAAAATGTCACGTTGGATCGTGAACTTGACAAAGATTCTGCTGTTGGAACTAAAGCCTGTCTGGTGAGATTTTCATTGGATGTCCCAAAGTCAAGTTGAAGGAAAAAGGGGATATGGGAAAGAGGTAGATAAAGATGTCATCACCTAAAGCAGAGAGAAAAAGGAAGTGATTGTTTCAATTTCAATCTTCCACTCACTGAAGAAGAGAAAAAAAAAAAAAAAAAGAAGAGAAGAAAATGGAAGAGGAAAATATTGTCCTTCTCAAATAGCTGCTTGGTGAGAAGAAGAAAACAGTACAAACAAGGGAGAATTTTGGCTTCCTAATCACAATTTTACGTGCCCCATGACGGTCCTTGCGTGGCTGACCTAAAACCATTTGGTAGAAAGATACATCATTTAATGATTTCATGGCTTGCTTTATTGGGAAGAGAAGCCGTTTGTTAGATACATCATCAGACCTATTCAAGTATTGATTAATATACACTGAAAAAGCTATCTGAAAATACCACAACATAGCACTCGCAGTGAAGAACAAATCAACCAGATTTTAACCAAAAGAAATAAGAAAAAGGAAAAATCTATCAAGCAGATTTAGGCCTCACAATGAATAAAGCATGGGCCTTGCTGATGACTTTTTAAGGTAAGTCTTAAAGGGATGGTAGTTCCACTATGTCCATACTGCAGTCCCTTTTATATGTTAAAAATATAATATATATATATATATATGTTCTCTTAGTTAAAAATAAAGTAAAAAATGATAAATATTAAACTTTATATTTATATACAGACCAGTAACTATTTATATTGTATGTTCCAATGAGAGATATTTCACTTTATTAATGAATGAATCTAAAAATTTATAAGTCTTTGAAAATAATTATCATAATGTGAAATATTTTTAACTTTTGAGTATTTATTTTTAAGTACTTTTCAAATTTTAAGTTTACTCGTTAACGAATTAACAATATGTCATTCAACTCATATGGAGTAGATCAATTGGTAAGATTGCAGCTTCCTTATCAATTTGGGTTCAATTTTTGTAAAAAGTATTCTAAGAATAAAATTTTGAATGCATCTTAGTCATGCTGGAAGTACATTTTTAAAATCCTTTTGAAAGGAAATAAGACTGTAAAAAGATTAAAAAGCTCTCGAATAAAAATTACGTT